GAGTTTATCTGCTTACTGGATTCTTGTAAATATTGCTTGTCTCCAGGTGCCATGAGAACTGCATTAGTGGTCATTTGGCACAGAGGTGAATAACTTGCCTTTGTCATCGTCCAGGTTAAAGTGCGGCTGCATATGGAGAATACTAGGCTAAATTTCTGCTTTGTACATTCATTTATATAAGTTATACTACTTCCTCAAAAGTTCTGTAGTCTAGGATTCTAAGAATGTTTTAAATAGCAGTTTAAACTGAAATAATTATTAAAGTATTCACATCAGTCCAGATTTTTTCCAGTTTAACTTCATTAATTCTTTTCTCCATTTGGTTTGTGGACCACCATGATTTCCAACAGACTATTGTCACATTTTAAATCACTCTTGAGTATAGTGAAATAGGGAGGGTAAGTAAGGTTGACTCCTGAATAGCATACGAGACAGCCCAGAGTAAGGCAGATACTGTGAAAGTTATACAGTACTTGTTATATAGTCAAGCCGCCTCAAAGAGATTACTTTAGATAAATCTTACACTGAAACCGAAGACTTTGTTGGTTAACGTCATATTATTAATTATAACTATTACAGAGTTGTTAGAATTTTTCTATTGCCAGTTACTGAAATTTTAGTCACTACTGTATAGTATTCTCTGTAATTCTGTGACATTAGTGATTATCATTATGTTGTGGCTTCCAGGGTGGTTGTTTTGCAGTATTCCCCACTGTTGTCATAATAACTTTAGGCCTTGTTGCAGAGAGACACCATTGGGCTGTATGTATCTCCCTGTATAAATAGATACGTTATCGGGGAGAAGTTGTGTGTGGGTTGTCCTTTTTTAAGTGTGTATTTTAAGAAAGGTTGATGATTGAATAATTCTGGGGTTTCATCTTATCCTGTAATTATTCAGATTATCAATGAACAGGGAACTCTAAAGAAAACAGCTATCTGAACTCTAACACTGTTTTAGTTGAAGCTTTTTCCCAAGTCCAGATAGCACTCACAGCTGATATAATATTTATGGATCACAGCCCTTGACTCTTAGCTATGCACTTATACCCTTCCGCCAGTAAGTTTCTTTCCTGACTTTGTTTCTCATCTTCAGAGAAATAGGAAGTTTTCATAACTGATAGTGGAGCATTAACCCATCTCTTACGCACAAGTTAACTGGGAAACATTTTTTTCTGAAGCCAGTAAATCTGAATTTCTTTATTTGAAAGCCTTCAATTAAATTATTTTAAAGCTGCTAGATTTTCAGCTGTTATTTTACAACTGTACATTTTCAAAAGGAAAATATTTTAAACGTAGTATCATAAGGCTCAGCAAATTGAGCTATTACTTTTACAGACACATCAACCAGTTTTGCAGATAACCAATAAATTGAACAGTACAAATGTAGTTCTTACTCTTTCCAAGTCCTGTGACTTCACAATGACAAGAAAACATTTCACTTTGATAATGCCTCTGTTTTAAAGGACTGTGGATGAAAGTATATGTATAAGTTTGCATCCTGTAGTAGAAGATGTTACTTGAAGCTGACGCCACCTGTTCCAAGGTGGTTGTTTTGGGTTGCTCAAAGTTGTACCAGCAACCCACAACTCTAAAGGGCTATTTGGCAGCTGTGAATCACTGGGACCAGAGATGCCTCAGGCATAACGCCTTAGTCTGGGCTATGCTCTTTACACAAAGGGCTAAGAGATGCACCCACTGCTCTGCTCTAGGATTGTACCACACTGGGGAAATCCTTAGACAGATAGATTGGCTTTGGGCAGACAGATCCACTGACTTACCGACCACTTTGCTTAGCTGACCAGTGCAAAATGTCAGGAGTATTGTAACACTTGGTCAGTTGTTTGATTCATAGAATATAATGCTGGAAGGGACCATTAGATCAGTGGTTTTCAAACTTTGGGTCGCAACCCAGTGTTAGGTAGCAGAATGCAAGATACTGGGTCACCTTGCTTAGCACCAGGGACCCTGGCGTCCGGCATGGAAAAACTAGTAGTCCCTACCTGTTTTGACACCGCGATGTGCCCCAGAAGTGGCCCGCAGCAGGTCCGGCTCCTAGGCATGAGGGCCACAGAGCTCCGCACACTGCCCCTGCCCCAAGCACTGGCCCGGCAGGCGAGAGCCTCGTGGAGCTGCTTGCATGCCTCTGCCTAGGAGACAGACCTGCTGCTGGCTGCCTCTGGGGTGCAGTGCGGTCTGCGGTGCCAGGACAGTCAGGAAGCCTGCCTCTGCACCCCAGCTGCACCACTGACAAGGAGCCGCTGGAGGTAAGCCCATGCCCCAACCCCGTGCCCCAAACCCGGAGCCCCCTCTTGCACCCCAAACCCTTCATCCCCAGCTCCGTTGGGTTGTGGGCATCAACAATTTTCTTCAATTGCGTAACCAGAAAAAAAGTTTCAGAACCACTGCATTAGATCATCTAGTTCAGTGGTTCTCAAACTTTTGTACTGGTGATCCCTTTCACACAGCAAGCCTCTGAGTGCAAACCCCCCCCCCTTATAAGTTAAAAACACTTTTTTATATATTTAACAACATTATAAATGCTGGAGGCAAAGTGGGGTTTGGGGTGGAGGCTGACAGCTCGTGACCCCCCATGTAATAACCTCGTGACCTCCTGAGGAGTCCCAACCCCCAGTTTGAGAACCCCTGATCTAGTTTTAGACCTCTTGTATAACGTACACTATTAAATTTCTGCCTGTCACCCATGTATTGAGTCCAATAGCTTGTGTTCGACTAAAGCATATCTACCTAGAAAGACATCCAGTCGTGTTTAGAAGTAATCACGAGATGGAGAATCCACCAGTTCCCATCATAGTTTGTTCTAAGGGTTAATCTTCCCTACTGTTAAAAATCTGTGTTTTTTAATTATTTTAGTTAGTCTAGCTTCAGCTTCCAGCCATTGGTTCTTGTTATGCTTCTCTCTGCTGAGATCCTGAAGATCTTGGCTATCCTTTGCTTATAGGTTCTTGTAAGCTTCTGCCTGGCGTGGCCTGGGGATGCCCTTCTGGGCGTGTTCGCCCCTTCTCTGCTTCACGCAGCTGCTTACGCAGAAGTTCTTGCTCATCTATGGCTCCTCCCATTCCCGGGCCATGTCCCTGGCGTTCGCCTCTGCCTTGCCTCAAGCCACGCACATACGCCAGCATCCCCTGGACCCTCCATCTTCAGAGTCTGGGTCCCGACTGCGACCTGCTCCTTGACAGCGTGGGTCCTGGCCTCTTGCTGTCCCACACTGTCCCAATCCCCTTTTCAGCCATCTCTCTGGGATGGCTCCCTGGCAGGTCTATCGTCATCACCGCAGCATCAACGCTGCTGGCCTTCGACCCCCCTGGGTCCTTAGGCACCTCTTCTTTCACCCCTCATCCTTTGAGGGGGCAGTGCCTCTTAATGTGGCCCTGCTCATGGCAGCCAAAGCAGGGTCCCCGCCTCTTTGCTACCTTGGGCCTTCGCCTTGCGCCTGGGCACTCCCACTGCAGGTGTCCTTGTCGCCCAGAGGCCCAACATGTCTGTTGTCCCTGGGTTTCCTCACCCAGCGGGCCTTCCCAGGGCCTTGTCCCTTCCCCTGCTCTAGGTGAGGCTCCTTGCCCCCATCCCAGTAGGGACAATCCCTCTTTAAATGTCCATGCCTCTTGCAGGCCTAACAAGCCCTAACTGCGCCACTGGCCTCCTGGCCCTGGTGTGGGGCTTTTCCCACCGCTCTTGGCAGCTCTTCGTAAACTCCCTTCTCAGGAGTCTTTCTAGGGCCCGCTGCTCCCTTTCCAGCTGCCCCAAGTGCTCTTGGAGGGCCCCCTGCACCTCCCATAGTCCCTCTTGGGTTTCCCTTGTGAGTCATCATCTGCCCCCTTCTGTCGGGGTGCTGATGCCAGGGCCCAAGCAGGGATGAAAGAAAACCTCTGCATAGGCAGGATCCATCATCCCCTCAATAGTGGCACAACTTGCCCAGTACCCATAGTTCCCGTGTGTCAGGAGTGGACCTGAGTTGCTTGCGTTCTCCACCACGTGTACCACGGTGGGCACTCATCACCGTGGCACCTTCTGCTGGTCATCTGGGAATTAACTCATTTCAAGCCTTGGAGTGCCTCCTGCTGACCGGTGTCTTCTTACCGGTGCCTGCTTCCTCCTGATCTCTACCACTTACAGAACTTCAGGCTGTGCGTCCCCCCCCCCCGACCCCAGGGCCCTTTACCTTGGGGTGCTTTCTCACAACAGTGCTCCCACACTCTGGGTCTCCCCTCCCCAGGAAACCCCAATCCCCTAAACCAACCTCACGTCAGTGACCCACTGCCAGTTCTCATCTAGCCCCTTCCCTCAAGGGCAAACTGCAGTATGAAGTGGCCACTCATCGTCAGCAAGGGGGTTTGGACCTGCTGCCTTTCCAGCCCCAGTTGCCTCCCTGCCGCCCAAGAACCTCCCCTGGCCTTTAGCAAGGCCTCAGCCTGGGGACTCACCAGGTCAGAGCTCCTCAGCTTGGCCTGCCTTTCCCCAGCCCTGCTCTGCCTCAGGTACCCTGCTTGCTCTCCCAGGCAGCCTGGTCCTCTCTGCTCCTCAGCTGGAGCAAGAGTCTTCTCTCACTCCCTCAGCCTGCCCTTTTATCAGGGCCAGCTGTGCCCTGACTGGGTACAACCCCACCTGTGGCTGACTACCCAACCAGCCTCCCTTGGCTGCTTTTAACCCCTTCCTAACTGGAGCACGGTGACTGCCCTGCTACAGTTCTCAAAGTGTGTTTTTTATTAGTTTCTAGTAGCTTTTCACATCTGATTCTGTGGTAGCGAGTGTCTTGTTTAATACTGAATGCTAGCTAATAAATCTTTGGTTGAATTATTTTTAAAGAATTTCTAATTTAATACATGTGTTTGGTTGTTTTTCCTCTTCCACTATAGATTAAGATTAAACAATCAGAACACAGGAGAGAATAAAACATGTTTTAAATCCATTGTAGATTATGAATGATTTTAAAAATTAATAATTTGCCTTTAATTTTTTCCCGTATTTTCTTTGCTTTACAGATCCATGATGGAACAGTCCAGTTCATTCTTGATTGTTTGTATTAGTTTTCTACTTGTTGAAGCTTCAGCACACAATGGAACTGCATCACCAAATAACACAACAACACGTAAGGAAACATTTAATTCTTTGGGTCAGTTACGGGTAAGATTCATACGCTCAGAATCCTGAGTCTTTCTCTATTCCTTCTAACTCCATTGATGCACTCTCACCGAAACTTTTTTTTTTGGTAACTTTTTATTAAGACAAAGTTACAATAAAATATCAACATAGTATATTGTACCTTACTGATTACTTATTCAGGATCTGGTTAATATTCAAAGAACCTAGATAAATATTTGGGCTTATTGGCATGCTCCTCTGTGTACACTAAATAGGGTGACCAATATCTATCCTGTTTCTGGAGCTTCTCTTGTATATTATGTACTTGGTATGAAAGTTTTTCTATTACAAGGACAGTCCATATTTTACTATGCCACAATTCCATAGGAAGAGAAGTCACATTTTTCCAATAATGTGCAATCAAAGTCTTACTGCTAACAATAGAAAATAACTTAATTTTGTCATTCTGTTTAAAATGTAGATCCTTTACTAGAACATTAAGTAAGCAGGTCGGGAAGCTCTAAGAAGCTGGCATTTTGTCATGAGATGAATCTCTTTTTAATAATTGCCTTCCAAAATAAGTATATTTGGACATGTGATTTTGACCATTTGTGTTTTAGCAGTTAAAGCTTTAACTTTTGAATCTCAATGTCTACTGTCATTCAGTAATTATTGTCTGACACCCCATTGTCTGTCACCCCTTCATAATTTCGCACAACTGTGAAAATTTAAATGCATAAAAATTGAAAATCTATTTTAAAATAAGCATTGATATCTGTTGAAATTATAAAAAAAAAAAAAATAAAAATTGAATTCTGCCAAGCCTGTCCTTTGTTAACCCAGTTAATCACATCTTTTAGTTGTGATGCATAATAATAATAATTAATAAGCCGAATTAGGGAAAAGCTAGTCCACCCCTGTCATAAATAAAGGGAAGGGTAACCACCTTTCTGTATACAGTGCTATAAAATCCCTCCTGGCCAGGGGAACATCCTGTTACCTGTAAAGGGTTAAGAAGCTCAGCTAACCTGGCTGGCACCTGACCCAAAGAACCAATAAGGGAACAAGATACTTTCTTGGGACTGAGAGAGGCCAGACAGAAATCTATCTTCTCCAACCCATCCTAATCCAAGTCTCCAATATTGAAACCAGTATAGGTAAGCCAGGCAAGGCAGCTTAGTTTATCTTTTGTTTTATGTGACTTTTCCCTGTGTTAAGAGGGAGGTTTATTCCTGTTTTCTGTAACTTTAAGGTTTTGCCCAGAGGGGCATCCTCTGTGTTTTGAATCTGAATACCCTGTAAAGTATTTTCCATCCTGAATTTACAGAAGTGATTCTTTTACCTTTTCTTTAATTAAAATTCTTCTTTTAAGAACCTGATTGATTTTTCATTCTTCTTAAGATCCAAGGGTTTGGGTCTGTGCTCACCTGTACAAATTGGTGAGGATTATTATCAAGTCTTCCCCAGGAAAGGGGGTGTAGGGCTTGGGGGGATATTTTGCAGGAAGACATCTCCAAGTGGTCTCTTTCCCTGGTCTTTGTTTAAAATGCTTGGTGGTGGCAGCATACTGTTCAAGGCCAAAGCAAAGTTTTTAACCTAAGCTGGTAAGAATAAGCTTAGGGGGTCTTTCATGCGGGTCCCCACATCTGTACCCTAGAGTTCAGAGTGGGGAAGGAACCCTGACAACCCCACTTTATAGGCTTTTACAAAACTGTAGAACTCACCATCTGTCTTGTACGTTTCCATATATACTTTAATAGTGCATTCTGCCATGTTGTTAATGTAACGTCAAGGTTACCAACAGGGATGCACTGAAAAAAAAAATAGTGGTAGGAAATTCATCTTTATCAAGGCTACCCTACCTAGCCAAGAAATTTCATATGTATTCCATTTCTCCATGCCTTTTATTATTTTATTCCACAGTGGAAGATAATTTGTCTTAAAAAATTTTTGTTTCTCTACATACAGGGGTTCTCAAACTGGGGATCACAACCCTTCAGGGGGTCACAAGGTTATTACATGGGGGTTGTGAGTATATGCCTCCCAGCTAGCTAAGTCTGCTGTGAAGTCTGTGCTAGTAAGTCTGAAAAGTGATATTAACAAAGGGGTAGCACTCTGGGGGTTTGCTGTGTGAAAGGGGTCGTCAGTAAAAAAAAAGTTTGAGAAACAACGTCTACAATATTTATTCCTAAATATTTTAAAAATTACTTTATCCATTTTAGTTTATGTAGCTGACAACAGTTTGTTCTGATGCTTTCAGAAATATTAATTCCTAAAATTTCAGATTTCTCTGTTGGATCCCAGAGTACTAAATAGCAAAAAGATGCAACAGATGGATATTGAACATAATGGAGAGAGAACAAGGGAGACAGTATTAGTAACACAAGGTTGCTTATATTAACGAAGTGTCAGCTGAGGTTTGGAGGTGGTGGGATTTGTAGATCTTCATAGTTTTTGATTTAAAAAAAAAGTGATGAGTGAGTAGGATGTTTTTGTGTACACACCATTTAAGAAGATCACAGGTTATTTACTTAAAATGTCTATTCTGCTGTATTTTGAGACAGTCTTAAAACAAGATAGCTTATTATATATTACTACTTATGTGGAATCCCCGTTACTGGAGGTTTACAACTATGGTAGCCCATTCTGTATAGTCCTCTGCTAATCTCCTTTTTTTCCACCCAGGATACCACATCATCCATCCAAGATCTTCTTTTTCTGCTTCATGTTCTGCTGCCATCAACTTTTCCTTCTATTGCCTATAAACATGCATCCCTTGCTGAACTTTGTAAAATGTGCCCTTCAGATTGAATCTTTCTTTTCAAAAGATCTCTAGCTCATGTTTGCTGAGTTCCAGCCATCTCTAGTATTTTTCGTTGGGTACACTGTCTATCCATGATATTTTCAGAATTATTCTATAACATCGTAATTTGATAGATTGTAGCTTCTTTATTATTGATTGTCTTAATATCCATGTTTCGTGTCCATAATTTAAGACAGACCAAATGTAAGTTTTGAAGAGTCAGAATTTAGTCTTCAGATTTATGTTCCCTCTCATCAGATGTTTTTTCTTACAGAATGTCTCCTCCTTCATTCCTTTTATTGATGTGCTGACTTCAGTAGCCAATCTTCCATCTTCTGAAATGATGCTTCCTAAGTAACAGTAATTTCTCACTTGCTGTATGGCTGTGTTGTTCACTGGAATCTTGCATGTTTTCCCAGGGTCCTTGCATACCACCATAGTTCTTCTTTGAGTGCTTGCTCATGTCGATTCCATTCTAGGTGTGTGTGCACCCATGTGCGCGGTTGTTGGAGTTTTTTGCCTTAGCAGTATCCGTAGGGCCAGCTGTGACGTCCCCTGGAGTGCTGCACTCATGTGTCGGTGTATCAGGCGCCACTGGCCCTATGTCCTCTCAGTTCCTTCTTACCGCCCGTGTTGATTAATCGGAGTGCCTTTCCTTTCATAGCAAGGGCTAGCAGTTTCATCTCTTCTGACTTCGAGCCTTAGGGCCTTGTAAATAGTTTGTTTATAGTAGTTAGTGTTAAGTAGTTGTTAGAGTCCCAGAGGGGTCTTCGCCCAGGCTGGGCATGCCCTGGTCTCCCAGGTTTAAGACCTGTGTGGACTGTTACAGGCCTATGCCTGTAAATGACCCCCACAGCAGCTGCCTCAAGTGCTTGGGGGAATCACATGTGAAGGACAAGTGTTGTATTTGTAAAAATTTTCAGTCCAGTACTCAGAAAGAATGGGATATTTTGTTTGTGGACTCTCCTCCTTGAGGCTTCCCTGCATCCAGCTTCCAAGCCGTCCCACCAAAACTCGCCTAGTACCTCGGCCTTTGTGCACAACACACCCACAGCACCGGACTCTGCCTTGCACCTCTCCCCATCGCCCCAAAAGAAAACAAAGAAGCACGGCTCCCTGGCACTGAGCAAGAAGGGCCATGGGACGTCAGGCAAAAGACCGGTTTGGGTTGCCCTGCCACTCTGAAGCCACGTGGATATGCCTCCCCGGTCGGGGCCCTTAGCCCCTTAAAGAATTCACCACTGGTAGAAGACCAAACTCCTGGCAGCATTGATGCCTTCCCAAGCTCCCCCGGTGCCAAGAGGGCAGAGGCCTCTGCCCACACCACCAGCAAAGGCTTCCCACGAGGGCAAGCCAGCTGCTAAGACCCCTCAGGGGGCAGTGGAGTGCCCCTGAGACAAGGCAGCACTCTCTTCCATGCTGCAGATCTCCAGAGTTGCAGCCCAGATCCTCTGGGGCTTGCCCTTGATCTCCGGCACCATAAGCGTGGTTCTGGCCATCTCGACATAGATCGCTTAAGGGGAGGCACCAATCTCCATTTTGCCAGCACCGTTTGCCCTCCTGCCGGTAATCCTCTTGGCGCAGATCTCGGTTGCCTGCACTGTGGGAGTGCTCTCTCTCATGACTCCGGTCCACCCTCAGCCCTGGTCCCTCGATACCAGCACTGATCCTCTCACTCTAGGGACTGGTCTCCGGTGGCGATGGTCATCAGGCAGATGCAAGCGTCGATGGCCCCACCATGGTCACCAGAAGGGGATGCCTCCAGCACGAAAGGGCAGTTCAGCCCCTCAATCAGACTCCATCAGTGCGACTGGGCTCCCAAGGCCGCATCGACATGGATGGTGCTGCCTTGGCAGCATGGCCAGCACAGCGGCTTTATTGGAGCGCGTGGGGCATGCCAGTCATGATAATGCCCCCTTCGCACCTCTCATCTGCTGCTGCTGCTTCAGAGCAACTGTTGGTGGCACCAATGGCACTGGGCACGGTGCAAGAGTCATGCTCGGAGGTTGGGGTAGAGGATACTACGCCCACCCCCAAACCCTCCCTCCCTCACGGGGGACGATGCCCTGGGGCCTCCCCCAGTGGTACAGTCGTCGTTTTCATCCCTGGATGAGGCAGTCGCGGAACGCTTGAGGGCCAGCCCGCCTGACGACTTTAAAGAATACCAGGCCCTGCTTTGACAGGTGGCCGAGAACTTGGGCCTT